CTGTGGAGGAAGAGAAACTCGTCTGAGATAGGTGTGGAAATTTATCTAATGGTATAGAAGCTCTGTAACCCGATGTCCAACAAATATAACCCACGAAGATCGGATAACTTGACATCACCCCCCCCGTCCCCCCACCAACCCCACCAACCATTACCCCCACCCCCCCACCAACCAAGGCTTAAGGTAAAAGTGAGGTCTGCTCTACCACAACACTACAGGTACTTGTATAACGCCTAGCTTGACCATGTAGCGTGTGTGTGTGTGTAATTTCATTCGTATTTTGTTTATGCTGAGAAAGTATAAATTGTGGTTGGGTGGTGGGAGTAGTGGTTGGGTGATGAGGGGTGTGGTTGGGTGGTGAGGGGTGTGGTTGGGTGGTAGGGGGTGTGGTTGGGTGATGTGGTTGGGTGGTGAGGGGTGTGGTTGGGTGGTGAGGGGTGTGGTTGGGTGGTGGGAGTAGTGGTTGGGTGGTGGGAGTAGTGGTTGGGTGATGAGGTGTGGTTGGGTGGTAGGGGGGTGTGGTTGGGTGATGGGAGATGTGGCTGGGTGGTGAGGGGTGGTGGGTGTGGTTGGGTGGTGAGGGTGTGGCTGGGTGGTGAGGGGTGTGGTTGGGTGGTGAGGGGTGGGTTAGGTGTGGTGGGAGAGTGGTTGGGGTGGAGGGGTGTGGCTGGGGGGTGAGGTGGCTGGGTGGCAGGGGTGTGGCTGGGTGGTGAGGGGTGTGGCTGGGTGGGTGGGGTGGGCTGGGTGGTGAGGGGTGTGGTTAGGTGGTGAGGGAGTGGGGGTAGGTGTGGTTGGGTGGTGAGGGGTGTGTGTGGGTGGTGGGGGGTGGTGGGTGGTAGGGGTGTGGTTGGGTGGTGAGGGGTGTGGCTGGGTGTGGGGTGGTGGGTGGTGTGAGGGGTGTGGCTGGGTGGTGAGGTGGGTGGTGAGGGGTGTGGTTGGGTGGTGAGGGGTGTGGTTGGGCAGGAGGGGTGGTTGGGTGGGTGAGGGGTGTGGTTGGGTGGTGAGGGGTGTGGTTGGGTGGGTGAGGGGGTGGTTGGGTGGTGAGGGTGTGTGACTGGGTGGTGAGGGGGTGTGGGGGTGGTTGGGTGGTGAGGGGTGGTTGGGTGGTGAGGGGTGTGGCTGGGTGGTGGGGGTGGCTGGGGTGGTGAGGTGGTTTGGGTGGTGAAGGGTGGTTGGGTGGTTAGGGTGGTTTGCTGGGTGATAGGGAGATGTGGTTGGTGGTGAGGGGTGTGGTTTGGGTGGTGAGGGGGTGGCTGGGTGGTGAGGGGTGTGGTTTGGGTGGTGAGGGTGCGGTGAGGGGTGTGGGTTGGGTGGGTGAGGGGTGTGGCTGGGTGATGAGAGGTGTGGTTGGGTGGTGAGGGGTGTGGTTGGGTGGTGAGGGGTGTGGTTGGGTGGTGAGGGGTGTGGTTGGGTGGCAGGGCTGTGGAGTCGGAGTCGAGGAGTCGGAGGAAATTTCGGCTTGTGGAGTCGGAGTCGGTAAAATTGTCCAGACTCCGACTCCGACTCCGACTGAAGCTATTCTGTTCCTAAGAACAAATATATGAACTCAGGCATATTCATTGCATTGATTCCACTGATCCCACTAATTTTCTTAAATTATTAAAAGAATTTATTTCCATTTTATAAGCATTATTATGAATTTATTGTAGCAGGCACAGTATAGCACTATAATTTTGGACGATAGTCTCTTCTTTACCATTTGAAATTTTGAATTATATCAAATTTTGTTTCGTTGAAAACTGCACAGAGGGTCTCAGCTACAAAACAATTAGGTACAACCTGTTTTTGGTGAGATTAAGGCAAATTTAATTTAATAACTTAATCATGTAAGGTTTATCCATTTTCCTTAATAAGGTATTCATTTCTTTAATGTACATAAATATATAACTTTACTTTAAAAGGAATTGTAGGATCATCATTTAGATCCACATCAGATTATGAGCTTAAACAAAATTCATATGCTGAGATCGAACTTTTAGATATACATGTAAATGGTGTTTTCTAGTTAATATCTTGAATTCTTAATAAATTTATTTTTCTTTTGATTGAAACTTTGAAAGTCAAGCCTATCATCTTTTTGTAGTTCTTAAATATCGTCCAGATCATTAATAAAACTGTAGCAGTATAGCCAAGGTGTTTTACTTTTTACCTATGCAGGTTACAACATACAAATTACAATTAGGATGGTAGAAATAGTTGTTACAAATAGGCCAAGGAGTCGGAAGCATAAACATTTGAGGAGTCGGAGTCGAAGGTTTTGTCTTCGACTCCACAGCCCTGGTACCTATACTGAAATTTTGAACAAAATCCATTTTTTGGCCGAAAATGACAAAAATTGTAAGTCTAAAGCCTTAAAGGATTTTTGGCCAAAAATACGTTTTCTCTCTGAACTAAAATTTAAAGTGCCTAACTATTTAAGTACATTCAGAATAATACACAAGCACCAAGAAATGACCTCGAAAACCCATAAGTGGCGAGTAATTAGCATTGCAAAAGTAATTAAAATATTCAAAAAATCATTTGGACATTTTCTAAAAGCCATTTGAACAAGTTATAATCAAGATCTCAAATTTTGGTTAACAGATCATTAAGCAGCACATTCAGGAGTACCTATACTGAAATTTTGAACAAAATCCATTTTTTGGCCGAAATGACGAAAATTGTAAGTCTAAAGCCTTAAAGGATTTTTGGCCAAAATATTTTTCTCTGAACTAAAATTTAATGTGCCTAACTATTTAAGTACATCCAGAATAATACACAAGCACCAAGAAATGACCTCGAAACCCATAAGTGGCGAGTAATTAGCATTGCAAAGTAATTAAAAATATTCAAAAATCATTTGAACATTTTCTAAAAGCCATTTGAACAAGTTATAATCAAGATATCAAATTTTGGTTAACAGATCCTTAAGCAGCACATTCAGGAGTACCTATACTGAAATTTTGAACAAAATCCATTTTTTGGCCGAAATGACAAAAATTGTAAGTCTAAAGCCTTAAAGGATTTTTGGCCAAAAATACGTTTTTCTCTGAACTAAAATTTAATGTGCCTAACTATTTAAGTACATCCAGAATAATACACAAGCACCAAGAAATGACCTCGAAAACCCATAAGTGGCGAGTAATTAGCATTGCAAAAGTAATTAAAATATTCTAAAAATCATTTGAACATTTTCTAAAAGCCATTTGAACAAGTTATAATCAAGATATCAAATTTTGGTTAACAGATCCTTAAGCAGCACATTCAGGAGTACCTAATAGGTGGTGTGGTTGGGTGATGGGAGATGTGGTTGGGTGGTGAGGGGTGTGGTTGGGTGGTGAGGGGTGTGGTTGGGTGGTGAAGGGTGTGGTTGGGTGGTAGGTGGTGTGGTTGGGTGGTGAGGGGTGTGGTTGGGTGGTGAGGGGTGTGGTTGGGTGGTGAGGTGTGTGGTTGGGTGATGGGAGATGTGGTTGGGTGGTGAGGGTGTGGTTGGGTGGTGAGGGGTGTGGTTGGGTGGTAGGTGGTGTGGTTGGGTGGTGAGGGGTGTGGTTGGGTGATGAGGGTGTGGTTGGGTGGTAGGTGGTGTGGTTGGGTGGTGGGGTGTGGTTGGGTGGTAGGGGTGTGGTTGGGTTGAGGGGTTGGTTGGGTGTGGGGTGTGGTTGGGTGGTGGGGGTGTGGTTGGGTGGTGGGTGTGGTTGGTGGGTGGTTGGGGGGGTGTGGTTGGGTGTGGTGTGGTTGGGTGGTGGGGTGTGGTTGGGTGGTGAGGGTGTGGTTGGGTGGTGGGTGGTGTGGTTGGGTGGTGAGGGGTGTGGTTGGGTGAGGGTGTGGTTGGGTGGTAGGTGTGGTTGGGTGGTAGGTGGTGTGGTTGGGTGGTAGGTGGGTGTGGTTGGGTGATGAGGGTGTGGTTGGGTGTTGAGGGGTGTGGTTGGGTGGTGAGGGGGTGTGGTTGGGTGGTGGTGTGGTTGGGTGGTGAGGGGTGTGGTTGGGTGGTGGGGGTGTGGTTGGGTGGTGAGGGGTGTGGTTGGGTGGTGGGGGTGTGGTTGGGTGGTGGGTGGTGTGGTTGGGTGGTGAGGGGGTGGTTGGTGATGGAGATGTGGTTGGGTGGTGGTGGTTGGGTGGTGAGGGGTGTGGTTGGGTGGTGAAGGGTGTGTGGGTGGTGTGGTTGGGTGGTGAGGTGTGGTTGGGTGGTGAGGTGGTGGGTGTGTGGTTGGGTGATGGGAGTGGTTGGGTGGTGAGGTGTGGTTGGGTGGTGAGGGGTGTGGTTGGGTGGTGGGTGGTGTGGTTGGGTGGTGAGGGGTGTGGTTGGGTGATGAGGGTTGGGTGGTGGTGGTGGTGTGTGGTTGGGTGGTGGGTGGTGTGTGGTTGGGTGGTGGTGTGGTGTGGTTGGGTGATGAGGGGTGTGATTGGGTGTTGTTGGGTGATGAGGGGTGTGGTTGGGTGGTGAGGGGTGTGGTTTGGTGGTGAGGGGGTGTGGTTGGTTGGTGAGGGGTGTGGTTGGGTGGTAGAAGTTGTGGTTGGGTGGTGGGAGTTGTGGTTGGGTGGTGAGGGAAGGGTCAGGAGTGATGACCAGCGTGTAAGGCACAAAGACAGACAGTTACACACAGTCCGAATGCAACTAAACACACACACACACACACACAGTCTACATATACCAGTAAATCAACGAGTAACTCACATCACTCGACCACACGTAGAAAACAAGTGAAAATCTAAAGTTGGTCTGAAAACTGTAAAACGTGTCACGTCCGGCCAGACATCCCCAGAAAACTAGATTTCTGGCAGCTCTCAGAGGCGGTCCCCGCTCACCCTCGCCCGGGAATTGTGGCCCACACATTCACTTCAGCCTTACCACCACCACTACCGCCTCCCAAGGCCACCATCACGTTGTAAAGCTTCGTACTTTCAATTCTTTCCCCGATTGAGGATGTAAGGAAGCATAAAACTAACTCAGTTAAACTAACAGCATAAACTACAGCATGCAAAATAACGACAAAAATACACAGAGACTAACTAGACGTGTT